TGTTACTAGTTAGGACAGGTAACCAAGTTGAGTACTAGTTAATTACAACTAGGGTACTAGTTAGGACTAGAAACCAGGTCAGCTACTCATCAAGGCCAGCTTAGTTACTAATTAGGACAACTTGACCCAAAGTCTGTGTTTCTTTATCCAGGGGTCCCCAACCCCCAGGCTGTGGACTGGTGCTAGTCGATGGCTTATTGGGGGCCAGTTGCTGGTTTGCTGGGCTGCACAGCAGAGGGTAGATGCTGGACAATTGAGTGAGGTTGGGTCTGTTTGCAGCCACTCCCCATTGCTCACATTGCTACCAGGCTCTGCCTCTTGTCAGGTCAGTGGCAGTAGTGGATTCTCAAGGGAGTGGGAAGCCTATTGATATGTGATTGCTTCGTTGTCTACTGCAATGTAGTAGTGTTGGAAATGGGTCGTGTGGTGGATGTGGTGTACTTAGGTCATCCCAGGACCTTCTTCTCTCCCACCAGTCCTTGGTGCCAGGAAGGTTGGGGGCACTTTATCCTTTGGTCTCTGCCTATTTTCAAAGAAGGTTGGCTTTTTTTTTTTTTTTTTTTGAGAGAGATTTTCGCTATAGGGCACGTGTGCTCGCCAGACAGACAGAGAGAGACATAGAGACAGAAAGCGAGAAATCACCCCCAGGGGGATGGTCATGCCGCAATCCCTTCTCCTCCATTCTCCTCTTGGGATCTTGGGCACACGCACACGTGCCTGGTGTGAGTTTTAAGCCACCGGGTCTGGGACGTGAACCACAGTCGACTACGTGGGAGTCCAGCGACATAGCCATTACGCTAACTGCTGGTTCCCAAAGGTTGGCTTTTTTTGGAGGTATAGCCAGCAAGAAAATCAGTCTATTTGATTTATGGGAGGTGCTGATGGTGGCTGGTTGGTGGTAGTTAGGATTATCAACCAAGGTGGTTACTAGTTAGGACTGATAACCAGGCCAGTTACTAGTTAGGGTAAATGTGGCAATGAGTTAATTCTGGTAAGCAGGTCAGGTAGTAGTTAAGGCAAACCATGGCACTTGTTAGTGCTGATAATCAGGTCAAATATTAGTTAAGAGGGACCTTGGCACTAATTAGTGCTGGTAACCAGGTCAAATATTAGTTAAGATGGATCTTGGCACTCATTAGTGTGGGTAACCAGGGACAGTACTAGTTAAAGTATACCAGGATATTAGTTAGTGTTGCTAACTAGGCAGAGTATGAGTTAAGACCAAACAGGATAGTAGTTAGTGCTGGTAACCTGGTCAATTACTAGTTAAAGTAGACCATGGTACTAGTTAGTGCTGTAAAACAGGTAAATTATTAGTTATAAGCAAACTAAATTATTAATTAGGGCAATTTGACCTAAAGTCTGTATTCCTTTATCCTTTTGTCTTTGTTCCAGAAAAGGGTACCTTCTCTGGAGGCACAGTATGTAAAAACATTGGTCTCTTTATGTGAAGTGCCAGTGGTGGTCAGTTGGTGATAAAGATGATTACTAATTAGGACTGGTAACTAGGTCAGCTACTAGTTAGTGCTGGTAACCAAGTCAGCTAGTAGTTAAGGTGGATCAGGGTGCTAGTCATTCTAGTTAACCAGGGTACTAGTTAATGTACGCCAGGGTACTAGGTAGTGCTGGTAACCTGGGTGGATACCAGTTAATGTGGACCATAGTTAGTGCTATAAAACAGGTAAATTATTAGTTATAGTTGAACTTCATTACTAATTATGGCAATTTGACCCAAGGTCTATATTCTTTTATCCTTTGGTCTTTTCCTATTCCAGAGAAGGGTAACTTATGTGGAAGCACAGAAGTAAAGACATTGATCTACTTGTTTTATGGGAGATGCTGATGGCAGCTGGTCAGTGGTAGTTAAGATTAGTTATGAAGATGGGTTACTAGTTAGGACTGGTAACCAGGGTAGTTACTAGGTAGGGCAAATATGGTAACTAGTTAGTGCTGCTAACCAGGTCAGATGCTAGTTAAGACTAACAATGGTACTAGTTTGTGCTGGTAGCCTGGTAAGTTACTAGTTAAGGTGTGCTGTTGTATTAGTTAATTCTAGTAACCTGGTCAGGTACTAGCTAAGGCAGATCATGGTACTAGTATGTATTGGTAACCAGGTCAAGTAGTGGTTAAGACTAACTTCTTTACTAATTAGGACAATTTGACCTGTCTGTGTTCCTTTGTCTTTGCTCGTTCTGAAGAAGTTAACTCTGCTGAACTCAGCAGACTTATTTGGAGAATACAGTAGGTAAAGACATTGATCTACTTGATGTATGGGAGGCACTGAAGGTTTAGTTAGGATTAATGACTAAATTGATTATTGGTTAAGAGTGGTAACTAGGTCAGTTAAGGCAAACTTGGTAACTAGGTAGGACTAGTAAGCAGGTCAGAAACTAGTTTAAGGCCAACTTAATTACTAGATAGGACTAATAACCAGACAAAGTGCTAGTTAAGACCCACTTGGTACTAGTTTGGACTGGTAACTATATCAGAAACTGGTACAGGCCAATGTAGTTGCTAGTTAGGACAAACTCGTTAGCAGGTCAGGTACTAGTTAGGACCAACAAGGGTACCAATCAGGAGAGTTACCAGGTCATATAATAGGACCAGTTGAGTTGCTAACCAGGTCAGTAACTAGTGAGGTGAAACTAGTTCAGACTGATAACCAGGTGGGTTACTAGTTACGAACAAATTGGTTACTAATTAGGACAACTTGACCCAAAGTCTGAGAGTTTTTATCCTTTGATCATTTTCTGTTCCAAAGAGATCACCTGGAAAAAAAGCAGGTACAGAAGACACTGGTATGTTTAATTTATAAGAGGTGTGGATGGCAGCCAGTTGGTGATAGGATTTGTGAACAAGTTGGCTACTAGTTAGGACTGGTAAACAGGTCAGTTGCTTGGTTCCCAGTCAGGACCATCTTGTTTACTAGTGAAAACCATTCTAGAAATAGAACTAGAAATAGCCCTAACTAGTCAGATACTAATTAGGGCCAATGTAGTTACTATTTAGGACATATAACCAGGTTACTAATTATGACCAACTGGGTTACTAGTTAGGATTGGTAACCAGGTCTTCTATGAGTGAGGATCAATTTAGTTACTGATTAGGACAATTTGACTCAAAGACTGTGTTCCCTAGGTACAACAAGTAAAGATCTGGTGTATGGAAAGGGCTGATGGTGGTATCAGTGGTAGTGAGGATTAGTGACCAAGTTGCTTACTAGTTAGGACTGGGAACCAGATTTGTTACTAGTTAGGATTGATTTCATTACTAGTTAGAACTAGAAATAGGTTAGTTACTAATTAAGGCCAACTTGGTTACTGGTTATGACTTGTAACCAGGTTAGTTACTAGCTCAAACCAACTCAGTTACTAGGGTTACCTACTCTTTTTTTTGGAGAGGTTTTTTGCTATAGGGCACTTGCGCTTGCCAGCCAGCCAGACAGAGACAGAGAGACAGAAAGTGAGAAATCACCCCCCAGTGGGGGATGGCCACACCGCAATCCCTTCTCCTCCGTTCTCCTCTCGGGATCTTGGGCACACACACACACACACACACGCTCCCAGAGTGAGTTTTAAGCCACCGGGTCTGGGATGCGAACCGTGGTTGACTACATGGGAGTCCAGCAACATAGCCATTACACTAACTGCTGGTCCCCCTTAGTCCTAAAATAATCTCATCCTCTCTACCCAGATGTCTCAGATCCTGAATTGTCACCAGGCCCATCCCTTTGAGTCTCAAGGCTTTATAATCTTCAAGGGTTTCTAATATCAAATACAAACACCACTGGGAGGGGGAAACACAATGAATCATGAGAGCATTTAATCAGGTGGTTATCCAAGAACACAGCAGAACAAATGCACCTGAGGCAGCTCGATGTCCAGAAGGGCCCGTGAAAGACAAACCCAATTCCAGATTCAGTTTTGCTCAAGATCAACTGTACATCATAGCTCACACAGATGGAAGCTGAGGTTCCAACAGACTAAACTGCCTAACCAAGAGCAGCCCCAAGACCTGAACTCAGCTTTGCTCCCTGCTTGGAGTCCTAAGCTATGTTACTAGAAAGTCCCTACTGCAGTGTTACCTAGCTTTTGCTTTCTTTTATGCAAAGATACTGAGCAGCTGCCAAAGCCTTTGTGGTAAATATTCACGTGCTTTGGAAAAGCCCTGCTCTGCCTCCCAGTACCATGCCTCCAGCACATGCACAATCTGTATCCACCCACAGGGTTAGCTTCTGCTCCCTGTGTCTGCCTGCATGTGCCTACTACATAAGCAGTTTCTATTAATGCATTATTGAAAGGGAAAAGACTGGAGCTAAGCCAGTGGTGAGGAAGGACCTCATCCCACAGGACCTAGCACTCAACACACTTTCTTCTCTACCTATGGAAAATGCAGATTCAGAAGGTGAATAGGTTTTTAGGTTTGGTGGGAAATCTAGGAGAGAGATGTCCTTCAATTAGAAGAGGGAATGAGGAACATTCATATCTCAGGAACATGGCACATTCCTTAGAGCCAGCTGGGGGCCCAGGGAGTCCTACAGGCCCTAGACATTATCGTTCAGGCCCAATACCTGCTGTGCGACCCTAGCAAAGATTATTTAACCGACCTAAGCCTCAATTCTCTGTAGAGAAGACTAAGGTCATTAAGTTTTATTTTAAGGTATCGCAGAACTTTAACAGAGTGAAAACGTTCAAAGGTTAAAAGTATTGTGCAAGTACACTGTTGACACTTCAGGCAAGCAGGTTAGGATGGGCAGAGGCCATGCCAAGAAGAGAGGGATCTAGCTCCCGGGATAGACGGGGAACACCTGAGCTCAGAAGCCAGGGCTGACTAAGAGTGGGGTCCTCAAGCCAGGGCGGGATGCGCTGGACAGGTACCCGGGCCAGGGCGTCCCGGGTGTGTGCCAGAGCTCCAGCTCAAGCAGCGGACGCTCTGAGAGCAATAGACCTGAGGGAGGGACCCCCATCTGAGCATCAGTGGCCAAGGAGCCCCAGGTTCACCTTTCAGCGCTTCTTTCATGGCTACTCGCTCCTCTTCGCCAAACTGAGAAGGGATTCGCGACTCCCCCTGTGGCTCCTTGTCCCGCAGGCCCTTCGATTTGGAAAAGGTGGCGAAAACTAGCAGCAACATAGCCGCCAGGGCCAGCACACAAACCCGCTGCCGAGTCATACTTCTCTGAGTCCCAGCGGCCAGTCTACAGCTGGAGTTTGGACCCGGAGCCAGATCGCCTTCCTCGCCTGTCAGCGCTGCAATACCTCCATCTGCCTTAGCCCCACCTCATCCCAATCATGGCCAATCATCACTTGGCTGGGGCGGCGGGACAGCCAATCGACGGGACGGCTCCGCCCCGGCTCCGCAAGGCCTTTCCGGGGTTGTGGTTTCTCGCCTGGTGCCGGGCTTCAGTAGGGCAGAGGTGAGGATGGGCTCCAGGAGGGGCAGGTCTCGGCCGCACTCGATCTGCTTTGGGATCCACGCTCACCGTTTTCTATATGACAACAAAAGGGGGAAAGCAAAATAGAATAGGCGAAGATAATTAAATAGATCATACTCTGTGCCTTCTAAACCGAACGTGACCGCCATTCCTCAGTTTCCGTGGGCGAGCTCTCCAGGCATTTGGGTTGATTTCATCTGGAATTTGGGACAGGGTTGCTCTATCTATCAATATAGCTTTGAGGTGCCAGCCAGGAGGGTTTGCTTCTGTTTAGGAATCTTGTTCAAAGTGTTTTGGGTATTAATGTTAATACAACATTTTTGCAACTCTAGGCAAATACTCTAAGAATGAAGATTTTTTTTTTTTTAAAGAAAGTACTGTAAAAATATTTAAGAGAATTTTGATGTATGAATAATTTTGATGGGGCAAGTCGGTGACCCAGTGGTCATCCTAGACTTGGTGTGTTAAAAAACAGTATGGAGGAGCAGTGTGAAGAAGAGGCGAGAGCGACCCGGGACTGACCAAAGCCTGTGCACCTGCATCCCCTGTGTCCAGCGCCAACGTTCCGCTGTCGTCACCACCATGCCCAAGAGAAAGGCTGAAGGGAATGCTAAAGGAGATAAAGCCGAGGTGGAGGACGAACCACAGAGAAGGCTGCAAGGTTGTCTGCGAAACCTGCTCCTCCAAAGCCAGAGTCCAAGTCTAATAAGGCCCCTGCAAAGAAGGGAGAGAAGGTACCCAAAGGAAAAAAGGGGAAAGCCGATGCTGATGAGGGTAGGAATAACCCCGAAGAAAATGGAGATGCCTAAGCAGACCAGGCACAGAAAGCAGAAGGTGCTGGTGATGCCAAGTGAAGTGTGTGCATTTGTGTAACTGTGTACTTGTGGTGACTGTATAGTCTGAAATACTATTTTTTATCAAGTTTTATAAAAATGCAGAATTTTGTTTTACCTTGTTTTAAAGCTATGTTGTTAGCACACAGAATACTTCATTGTTGTGTTTTGGGGAAGGGGCGTTTGTCACTAATAGAATGTCTCTGAAGTGGATTGATTTGGACATCTTTCCCTTCTAGTTTTGAGAGACTTCCTCTTGGCTCCTGAGAGGAGGGATTCCCTGACACACAGCCACCTTGGCACAGATGCCTTGTGGTGTGGAAAACTGAACATCTGCTTTTATGTCCTCTGGCAATCTGGACTTTCCAATGACATTGAGATGTCATCGTTCAAAAGAGCAGCAGTTCCTTTTCTATGTTGTTTGATCTTCAGGTTGATAATTCTGCCATTTTCATTTCCCGGAAGTCAGACTCAGCTTGTGAAAAGTTATTAAACAAATGTGAAATGTCAACCCTCTCTCTAACTTTCCCTGTTCAGAGCATCAAATGAAGACTTCATTGGCTTTTGTAGTGGCTTTCTGATTTGGGTAGTCCATTGAAGAAGGGAGGTTGAAAGTTGTTGTATACTATTAACAATTATCTGCCCATGCCCTGCCTGAAATACCATGATTGTTTATGAAAAGTATCTTTAATAAAACTGGATACAATTTGGCTTGGGGAAAAAAAACAGTATGGGTACATATGTGTGGGTGCTCAAATCCCAAAGGGATGGAGAAATGGAGAAGGGATTGCTGCATGACCTCACCTCATTAAGAGATGCTTTCTCCCTCTCCCTCTCTCTCTCTGGTCAGCACATGCACCTGCTGGCAATTTAAAAATAAGTAATTAAAGATAAACTTTGAAAAAAATTTTTGATGTATTTAATAACTATTCAGAGTAGAGGATCATTCTTGAAAAAAGAATAAAGACTCTCCTATGACAGATATAAGAGTCTTGAACTCATAAGAAACTTTTCCTTCCAGTTTCTTGGTGCAATTTCAATGGAAAACACTCACATTTTAGAATTCTCAAGAAAAATCCAGTAGGTTCTATACTGCGAATAAGGCTATATAGCTACTTGTGATCAGAGATAGAGTCACACTTCTTGTGCCTACCCGACCTCATGGGAGGAGTACTCTGTCTTAACCCTTCCACTAATCCTACTTTAAAACAAAGCTATAATAATGTAATTACTTTTCAATAACAGCTTAAAAATCAATATCCTGCAATGAATACCTTACAGATATAGAAAACTGTAAATGATAATAATGAACATTTCTGGATTCAACACCTGCTTAAGATCTAGAACATTAAAAATAGAGTTAAAGGGACCAGCAAGTGGCATGGTGGTTAAGGTGCTGGACTCTCACATGACTGACTGTGGTTTGAGTCCTGGACATGGGATCTTGCTTTCTGACTTTCTTTTGTTCTCTCTCTTTTATCTCTGTCTCTCTCTGGTGAGCATATGTGCCCTATAGCAAATTAAAATAAATAAATAAATAAGTAAATAAAATTAAATAAATAATTCTTTAGTTAAAAAATATAATTAAAAATGTAAAAATATGGAGCTGGCCCCATGGCCAGGTGGTTAAAGGAGATGGATCCCACATGGCTAACTACATGGTTTTAGTCCTGGACCAGCAACTTGAAAAATGCCAGGTGTGTGTGCCTGCATGCTCCAAATCCCAACAAGATGGAGAAATGGAGGAGAAGGGATTGTGGTGTGACCATCCCCCACTGGGGGGTACTTTCTTCCTCTACCTCTCTATCTCTCTATCTCTTTGGTGAGTGCATGCACCTCTATGGCAAAAAAAAAAAAAAGTGTAGAAGTGTGAACATTGACAGTCTTTTTTAAATAAAAAGTAGCTTAATTTAAACTAAACATAAAATTTTTATAATTATAAATTGTTATACATTTATATCTTTGCAAATTATTTGGAAAATACAGGAAAGTGTAAAGAAAAAAAAATCAGGTACTATCCTAATATCCAGAGCTAATCACTCAATATATTGAACTTTACTGGAACTTATTTGTCTTATCTATCTATCTGATTGTTGTTTGTGAAGCCATGTCATCTCTCTACCCCCCAATCCTGTCCTCTTCCTTGCCTCCGGTGGCCATTCTTCTGTGCCTCTGCTTCTATGAGATTATCGCCTTTAGTTTCCACATCTGAGTGAGAACATGTAGTATTTCTCTTTCTGTGCCGGGCTTATTTCACTTAACGTAATGTCTTCCAGCCTTACCCATGTTATTTGAAATGACAAGATGATATTCTTCTTAATGGTTAAACATTGGGTCGTTGTTCCCCTATGAGTGATGAGTCATTGGAGTCTTGCTGCTTTCAAGATTTTTCGCCTTGTTTTTGATTTCCAGCATTTTCACTGTGCTGTGTCTGCTGGTGGGTGATTTTGCCTTTATCCTACTTGGGGTTCATTGCTTGTGCTGGGTGCATAGGTTATTATTTTTAATAAATTTGGGAAATTGTTAGCCATTATTTCTTCAAAAACATTTCTTTTTCCTTCTGGTACATCTGCTATATGTATGTTGTTGGACTTAATGGTGTCTTACATTTCTCTAAGGCTCTGTTCGTTTTTCCTCACCTCTCTTTGACTTCCATGGTCTTTACCAGTCTGCTTTCAAGGTCACCGATTCTTTCTCTGGCTAGTTTAAATCTACTGTTGAATAACCATAGTGTAGTTTTTATTTTATTTTTTAAAGTTTCAGTTATAAATGTTCAATTTCAGAATTTCCATTAAAAATAATTTTATCTTCTTATTGACATTCTCTGTTTGATGCAACATTGTCATTATATTTTCCTTTACTTCTTTGGTCATGCCTTTTTTTTTTTTTTTTTTTTTTAAGTTCTGTCAGCTATTTATAATGACCACTAGGAAGTCTGTCAGTTAAATTTGACATCTGGTTGCTCTCACAGGCAGTTTCTGTTGTTTCCATGTTGTCTGGTGCTTTGGCCATAGTTTCTTGGTTTTCTTTTCTTTCTTTCTCCCTTTCTTTCTCTCTTTCTTTCTTTCTTTCTTTCTTTCTTTCTTTCTTTCTTTCTTCTTCTTTTTTTTTTTGTAAACTAAACATTTTAGGTAACATATTGTAGAAATCTGGCTACTGGTCTTGGCCTTCTCTTCCCAGGGATTTTTATTATTTCTCTATTTGTTCAGTGGCTAGAGGAGTCATTTTAGTAAAGTCTTTCTCTCCCCCACAGCATTAAGTCACTGGTGCTCCTCATCAGGGAGGCAGTTTTTGGTATTCTTGCAGTCAGGGGAGGGGAAGGACACGGCATTTGACCCATAACAACCAGAAAGCCTCTGTAATGATCTGGTTACCTATCTCTCGATGTATCAACCATCTTCATTGGTATGAACTCAATTCATGCTTTTAATGGTTTAAAATTCATTGTTATATTTAATTATTTTAGTACTCAAATTGTCTCCTGTTTGGCTAGTGGAAGCCGTTCAGTCTGGTCATGGGGAAAGTCGTGATCTATTTTTCTATGCAAAAATGTGTTGCGACTTTCTCAGTGACCCAATAATTCCTGTGACCTTGTGTCTTGCATTTATTAAAAAAAAAAATCCCTTATGCTTTCTGGCTTAAAGATGTTCCAGACTGATCTTGGACCAGTACCTCCTGACCAGTACCTCCCTGACCCAGCTCTCCAATCAGCCATTTCTCCAAGGACTTTTAGAGAGGAAGTTCTAGAGGTTCAGAGGTTCTAGAGGTTCTAGATGTGCTTGTTGCTACTGGTGTCTTTGCTTATTGGTACTGTCATCACTCAGCATTAGGAAATACATCTGTGTGTATACACACACACATAAATCCACGCATACAAATCCACATGCATAGATGAATGTACTTGTACATGTACATATGCACATAAACAGGCACCGAACGGACTTTTTTTCAGAAATTATGGAGAGAATGGATGAAAAAGGAGGGCTCTTCCTTACAGTGGGAAGCTGATGGCAAATGCAGTGAGGGTGCTAGAGTTGGAGAATCATTTTGGATCCCTCATGAAATTGGTAGGATCAGACAAGAATTGTCAATGGATGCTCAGTCAAATGGGAAATTTTAATGTGCAGCAGACTGTTTGCATGCATTAAAGTGTGTCCTCACTATTACTTGCCAGGGAGGAAAGAAAAAAAAAACAACAACAAAAAACCAGAACTATTAGTTGTTGGAAAAGTCATGACGTGTTTTTCCATGTTTTTCTATCAACAAGTATCATGTCTTTCCTGACAACTCATATAAGTAAATATGCAGAGGAGAGTTTGGGCAATACCTTGAATGAGTAATCAAAATTAATTTCACCTAGGAGAGACTGAGGGCATCATGTGCTTCCAGAAATGATAAGCAGAGTAGGACAGAGTATACCCTGTGGAGAACTCTGAGAGAGAACACAAAGCCTCAATGTAATCATGAGGAATTATCAGATAAGTGCAAACCAAGGGATATACTAATATATAGTGAAGAAGATGGGTGACCCATGATCTTTAAGAATGTCAGTGTTGTCAAAGACAAAGACAAACTGTGGACATATTCTAGATTACAGGTCATGAAAGAGATTTAACAACTAAATTCAATACCTGACCCTAGATTGGATTCTGTGTTGGAGAGAAAAAGACTTCATTAGGTCAACTGACAATTGGCATATGGATGATATATTAGATAAAAGTATTATGTCAATGTAAATTCGTTGAGTTGAGAACTACTGAGGTTATGTAAGAGACCACCTCTAAGGAAATGTGTACTGAAATATAATAGGGCTGAAAGACCTTATCCTCAAATAGTTCAGAAAACACAAATTTGAGTGCCTCTGTAGTGTAGCAGTAACATCTGTTCAAGAGAATCCGGATCCCACATGGTGACTGTGGTTCAACTTCCTGGCCTAGTCAGCCTGAAACACACCAGGCATGCAAATGCCCCAAATCAGGTGAGCTGGAGGACTAGAGGAAGGAGATTATGGCTTGAGTAGACCCTGTGGAGTGAGCTTCTCTCTCTTTCTTTTATGCATGTGCTCTATCATGAATAAAGAAGAGAAATTATCTATATCCATAGAGAGAAAGAAAAATATAAAATGAGAAAGTAAATGATAAAATGGAGTAAAATATTAACAGTAAGAGAAATGGAATAAAGAGCATATGTTTCTTATGCTATATGTGTGTGTGCTACGGGGCATGTGCACTTGCCAGAGAGCTACAGAGAGAGAGGGAGAGGAGAAAGTACCCTCCAAGGGGGAATGGTTATGCCATCGTCCCTTTTCCATCTCTACCTCCTTTCAGGATTCTGGGCACACACCCACAATGCATCTGGCATGTTACTCAAGCCACCAGGTCTGGGACTCTGCTACACAGTTGACCAGGTGGGATCCAGCTGCCTTAACTACCAGGTCATAGAGTTGGCCCAAGATTATTTAATCATTTTTTTTAAGAATTATGTAATTTAATTAATTTATTTATTCATTTATTTATTTTAGAGAGATTTTTGTTATGGGGGCACACACGCTTGCCAGAGAAACAGAAAGTGAAAAATCACCCCCCAGGGTGGATGGCCACTCCTCAAGCCCTTCTCCTTCATTCTTCTCTTGGGATCTTGGGCGCACACACACATGCGCCTTACATGAGTTTTAAACCGCTGGATCCAGGGACTTGAAGTCCTGGTCCCTATTATTATTAATTTTTAATTTGACTAGAGAGAAACAGAAAGAGAGAGGGGAGGGGAAAGTGAGAAAACTGCTAGGTCCAGGACTCAAACTGTGTTCGACCATGTGGGAGTCCAGCGCCTTAATCACCATGCCCCCTGCTGGCCCCAAGATTAGCAAATCTTTAATAAATGTCATTTGGGAATGCACTGATTCTCAGCAGTGTTTCCTCCTCCTCCTTCATTTGTTTCTCCCTATTCTAGTGCTCTTCACCTCTGTGTTCCCACATTTCTGCCCTGCCCACTATTCACCTCCCTTCCTTCTCTGCTTTGTTCTGTCTCTTTCTGCTTCATCCTATATGTGTCTCCATCATGCCCTTGCTCCTTGTTTTTCTGTGATTCTTTAATATCCTTCCCTCCTACTGGCAGTAAACAGAGTTGGGGGTCAGCTGGGCCTGTTGGACATTTGAGTCTTACAGCCTTGCTTGCCTTGCATTGTCTCTCAACGGGGGGAGGGAGAGGTGGGATTAGATTGTGTGCTCCCCAAACTAAGGATTCTGAAGGCCGTGCTGAGCACTGATGGGACTGGCCCTTAGTAGATATCTCATGTATGTGAGAGAATTAGTGAGGGAAGGGTATGCAGAAGAGATGACAGCACATGAGTGTCCTTTAGAGCCCCCAAAGTCCACGGTCACCTGGATTCTGGTCCTGGCCACGGGGGTCCCTCAGCTTGGTCCTCTCTCCCCAGTGTCTGCTTCAGCTCGATCATGGAACTTTATTCATCCCCAGGAGTGGGAGCTAGAACCCAGAGAAGAGGCGAGAGACTCCTGGAGAAACCTCAGGTCCTCATCACTACCCCTCAGGACAGCGCGAAGCATGGCCAGCTATCCTTGAAAGTGACTTGTGTTGCCTCTCTGCAAAGCCACCAAAACAAGTGCATTTGTTCACTTTTCAAAACCACTTTATTACCAAAACGAACAAAAAGAGAATGGCAGTTAAATTAAATAAATTACACAAATATGTATCTCAAGAGAAGATTCCCTGTCCTCTTGGGAATCATATCATCACAGATGAGTATCACTAAGAACATTCAAAACATTGAAATTCTGGATTTTTTGCCACCTTGCCCTCGTCTTCCTGCATCAGTCATGTCCAGGAGAGTGGTCCATGGGAATTTATGTTCTGTCCAAAATATTCCAACAGTACAGTTTTCTTCAATGTCTTTCCTTGCTCTGTGTGTTCCTCATCATCCCTTCTCTCTCATGGGCTCTGTGAGTGCTTCTACCTTGGACACATTTGGAGAGCCTTCCTTCAGCCCCAACTCCAGGCCACTGTGAGTCACAATATCCTCAGTTCTGGAGCTGGTGTGGGGGTTAATGGCCACTTCATCAAGTGTTCAGGGGATCTAGACACTTAGTTCAAAGGGGGACTCTTGACTTAGGATGTCGTAAGGCTTTGACCTTGCCCTGCCTTCTGTGTCTGAGCTGTACTTGGAAGGAGGTGGAGTAGGAGAGAGTGAGTTGTCATTGGCTAAGGTGCTTGTCCTCTCGGAATTTGGCACTTCAGTGCTGGGTACGGTGAATCCCAGATAACATTGTCTTCTGCCTTCCAAGTTTTGAGTTCCCTTGGCACCCAGATGGCATAATGAATCCACAGAGAAGCAATGCTCGTGAGCCAAGAATGTGCAGGCTCCTTGCCAGAACCCTGTTCTTTAACTCTAAGAAGACTTGCTGGTGGACCAGCTCACTCGACACGCAGACACACAGTACAGGACAGGCCGCAGTCAGGCGCTGGGATGTGTTCCCAGGCTGGGCCAGCCCAACTTGTTGGGGCAGCAATTATTTGGTTGAAGGAGCTTGGGAGAAGCAGTGAGAAGAGGCCAGATGTCTTCCCATGCACTGTCATAATGTTTTACAAAACATTTGCCCATGAAACCTATTTATTTTCAAGTTGACGGTGGGGTTCCTCTAGTGACCTCCTTCTACACATGGAGAATGTAACCCCTAATTTCATCTTTTCTAGAAGAAGATAGCCTCAGTTTCTGAGGTTGTTAAACGAACTCTTGAGAAGGAAGCCCCCACCCAGGTCAGCCCTTCTCCATGCTCTGTAGCCAGCTGGGGATGCAGTGGGGCCCTGGAGGATGTCCTCCCTTGCCTGGCAGCCAGGTCCCATCATGGCTCCAGACCACAGGCTGGTAAGGGAGTGTTACAATGCTTGGCTCTTTGCCAAGTGAAAGATAGGCAGAGTTCTCAAGGGACGGCATCTCCCTAATGGGTCCTGCAGCTTATCTTGGGCTGACACAGCACACCCCTCCTTCTCCAAGTCTTTGGTACAAGAGGGATTCCCAAAGATTTTGTTCTGAGTAACTGGCATCTGGAGCTAGGTTGCCAGAGGATCCGGTCAGCTACCCGTTGTCCCCCTCTGTGTTCCTATCCTGCCTCAAGTAAAAGGGAACACTCTTGAGGGCAGAGGGAGTGAGAATGTTTCAGGAGGCTGAGACAGCTACCTTGGTAGGCTGCCCCTGGGGAAGTAGCTCTGGTGCTCCGGAGGGCCTGGCCACTGCCTAGGCTCGAGTCTGATGTGCCAATTAGCAATGGAGTCTTGGCAGCCTTGGGGTAAGGAGGAAGGGAGACAGTCACCAAGGCATAGACTCCTGGGTTATTGTCACTGGGCTGCAGAGCTATTGAGGACAGAGTTGGGGCAGCTGGCAACGACAAGCCATGGAGTCTAACTAAGCTCATCCTTGTGTCTTGGGACAGCCCAGCACCATCAGGAACCAAGCCATGCAGGCCCTGAGATGTTTTCTGAAGCTTGCACACCATGTCGGCCTAGCTGGCTTATCTTTCTGTTCTTGCCTCACTCAACATCTGCAAGTCAAGGTGTCCCTTGGCTGCCACAGGCAGGGCAGGTGGGCAAGGTGGAAAGAGTAGGAAGCTTGCTCCTTGTTGGCTGACCCTGGGACCAGGGCAGGGGTGAGGAGGTGGGCTTGCCAGACTCCCACCCCTGTAAGAGCAGACTCTGGTGCTGAGATTGGCTCTTTCTAGCGGACAGGGAGGGAAGGAGGAGGAGAGAGGAGAAGGAGTCCTCGTGGAGGCACTCTCCTCTCCCCAGCACTCCCTGTGATCCTGGGCTCATCCTTCGGGGAGGTCCCAGGTGCCTGGTACTCTGGAGGCAGGATGGGGACCAGCAGGCCCTCACAGGGCAGTTAAGGTCTCTGTGTGGAACATGCTCCCAAACACCTCCTGCACAGGAAGGAAGGGAGAGGTTAGCTTTGTTGGGATCAGAGTGGCTGCAACCAACAGGTGGTCCTATGGGCCCTGGGATGGAAGGAGGCATTGTGAGTGTGTGTGTGTGTGTGTGCATGTGTGTGAACAGGGAGAGCATGGCCAACCTAAGTGGTGAACTTGGACTGCAGAGACTGGAGAAGGTGCTGTCCCCAGTGTGTTGTGTGACCTTCCACTTGTTCCTCTTTCTATTTAGCTTCATTTTCACTCTGTAAAATGACAATCTAGACAAAACAAGCTCTCAGGGCTTTTCTCACTTTGTAAGTTATTTTGGTCCCACCAAGGTTTTTCCAGAATGGGCCAGAGATCCCAAGAGGGCACAGAAATCAGCCTGCCCAATCTCTGTGGCTCTGGCTTTATGTTCTAATGTCTCCATGTACCATCAGCAAACTCAGAGCATGAGACTCAAACTCAAAGAAACAATAGGAAGAGGCATGGAGATGTTCTTCTTCGCCAATACCAAGCCAGATTTCCCTAAACCTGGTCATCTGTTTTCTTTTAATTCAGGGTGTTGGCATAGTGCAAATTTTCATGGGCCCTCTGGGGTTAGTTCTTTAGACCTATCCACATACAATAATAATCCTTTCGCACCTTTAGAATCCATCTGATTCCATCAGAATGTACGTTTGCCAAGGGCAGGAGTCTTTTGTTTTGCTCATTGCCCTTGGCCTGCCCTGGAACTCTGCAGGACAAGCAGTAGGTGCTCTGTAAATACCTGCTGAGTATTTGAAAGGACAGAGGACTCCTCCACGAATTTTGTGAGGTAGATGGTATAGGTGTAACCCACATTTCTCTATGTCACCGAAGACAGAAACTGGGGCCCAGGGGTGTGATGCGGCCTGCTAAGACCATGCGGCTGATGTGTTGGAGAGTTAAGAATAGATATTCATTTTCTAGGACTTAGTCCAGAGTCTCTCCCTTCCCATAATGCCTTTCCGGGACTGAGAAGAGTTAAGATCTGCTATTAAAAGAAAGATGAAGATGAAACTTCGTGACCTTCCAGCTCTGGCCTGGAGATAAGAGAGCTCAGTGAACACCTGGTACTTGAGGGGCATCTCCTCTCTTGCCCTCCCCACCACTCTCGCCCACCCTGAGAGCCCACCCTCTAACTCACCTGCTCTAGGTCCCAGTAGCCTGGGCTGTCATCCTCCGAATCCGACAAGGAGACCTCAGGGTCCCCTGGAGCCTGGAGGGGGAGAAGCCAATGCAGAATGAGCTCCAGTAACTGAACAGCAAAGGCCAGGGCATGGCGGCAGGGGAAGGAGGCATGGCAGGCTCTGGGCTGGTGCCGTGTGTCCTGACACAGACCTTGCCCTCTCACCCCTCTCAAAATATAACACAGCTTACACTGGAAGGTACACAGCAGGGTCTGCCCTCCTTTAGAGGCAAGGAAGGTTTACCTAGTTTAAAAAAATGACTGGCTTGATTAAACCTTGAGGAATTTGTTTCCTCCCTCTGGGAATCTGTTTCTCATCTTTAATGGGAGGATAATCAAACTCATATCACGGACCTTCTCCCTCACCATGTCGTTGAAAAGCTATGAGTGTGTGTGTGTAATTTGTACTTAGCAATATGTTCTGTAACAGGTAAATGTACAAGGGGACTTCAGGGACCAGCAGTTGGTGTAATGGCTATGTAGCTGGACTCCCATGTAGTCAACCGTGATTCGAGTCCCGGACCCGGTGGCTTAAACTCACGCCAGGTGTGTGTGTGTGTGCGTGCCCAAGATCCCGAGAGGAGAATGGAAGAGAAGGGATTGTGGCATGGCTATTCCCCCTGGGGGGTGATTTCTCGCTTTCTGTCTCTCTGTCTCTCTCTGTCTTTCTGGCGAGTGCACATGCCCTACAGCAAAAACCTCTCAAAAAAGAAAAAAAGAAAGAAAGAAAAAAAAAGAAAAGAAAAGAATAAAACAAGGGGACTTCAAAAAGTTGGGGGGGCAGGTGGGGTGGTGTTTAGGGGTGCTGGACTCCCACATGGTTGACCACGGTTCAAGTCCTGGACCTGGAGGCTTGCTTTCTCACTTTCTCTCTCCTTTCTCCTCTCTCCTTTCTCCTCTCTCCTCTCCCTCTCTTTCTCTCTCTCTCTCTCTCACACTCTGTCTTTTTTTTAAAAAGTTGCGGTGAGGCTGAATGATAGCCCAGCAGTAATGCAATACTCTGACAGGCTGACCCACATGGGAAGGTTCTGGACCTTTAGAATCTATCTGATTCCATCAGAATATACGTTTGCCAAGGGCAGGAGTCTTTTGTTTTACTCATTGCCCTTGGCCTGCCCTGGAACTCTGCAGGACAAGCAGTAGGTGCTCTGTAAATACCTGCCGAATTAATGACCCCACGAATTTTTTGAGGTAGATGGTACAAGTGTAACCCACATTTCTCTATGTCACAGAAGGCAAAGACTGGGGCCCAGGGTGTGATGTGGCCTGCCAGGATCCCTTGGTCGATGCAGGAGAGTTGAGAATGTGTCTGGAGACTTCCCTGAGTATACCAAGCGTGTGTGTGCCCATGAACCAGGGCTGGGGGAGGCTGGGATAGATTATCATGTGGGACCCTGTTAGGGGTGCTGCATCTCTAATTCTGTTTCTCTCTGCTTCTCTTCCTCATGGAGGAAATAAATAAACTTTTTAAAAAGTTACTAGAAAGTGGAATTGAAGTATTATTCTGGTGCAAAAATTTTTGAAATCTATGTGTGTTTTTTTGTTTGATTGTTTGTAGAGATTTTTGCTATAGGGTATGTGCACTCACCAGAGAGATAGAGAGAAACAGAAAGACAGAAAGCAAGAAATCACCCCCCAGGGGGGATGACCATGCTATAATCCCTTCTCTTCCAATCTCCTCTCAAAATTTTGGGCATTCATGTACATGCCACTGACATGAGTTTCAAGCTGCTGGGTCTGGGACTTGAACCACAGTCAACTACGTGGGAGTCCAGTGACCTAAAAATGACACCATCTGCTGGTTCCAATGTATAGTTTTTTTTGTAATGAGCATTTTTCATGAACTTTTAGAAGACCACTTGTATAAAATAATTTATGATATATAAATATCCATATCATATATAATGATACATATAGCATATACAATGATATAAAATGGTATATATAATGATACATATGATATGTAATTACATTATAATGCACTCATTTATGAATGCATAAATAAGAAATTAGACATATGAACTATAAAGAACAGGACTCTGGCCGTGCAATAGCAGGTAATGCAGATTCACCCAGAACGGCCCTCGCTCTGCTCTGTGGAGAAGGTTCAGGAGGCAGAAAGCCGGCTGCCCCCTGGAGTCTGCCTGTAAGAGTGGCAGGCCAGAGCCAGAGCTGTGTTTTCCCGGGCAGTCTTTCAACACTCAGAACAGATGGCTTCACCTTTATCAGGCTCAAGGTAAAGAGCAAATTGTTGCTCTTGGGCCAGAAAAGCCTTTCTTATGAGCCACAGAGGGCAGGGGGGCTTTCTACTGAGGGCTGAGCATCAACAGAGCTGGGAGGCCAAGACCTAGGGTTTGTGGAGGAGATGAGAGGTCGTTGGGGAGGTATGGGCAGGGACCCCAGTGGGGTGAGACTTTTCTGACTCCTCAGCTCTCTGGAGTGCTAGACAGTGTTATTTGTAGCTCATTTTCATGCCATGGCTGAACTAGTAAATTAAATGTCAGGAAGCTGAGACAAAGCTCAGATCCAGCCTCTTCATCCATCATGGGTCAGAATCCCAAGCTCTGCTAAATTGAAACAGGCATGTTTACTCCCTTCCACCTTTTCCCACAACCTCTTTAAAAAAGAGCAAAGGAGGGACCAGCAGTCAGTGTAATGGCTATGTTGCTGGACTCCCCTGTAGTCGACCGAGGTTCGAGTCCAAGATCCTGTGCTTAAACTCACGCCAGGTGCGTGTGCGTGTGTGCCCAAGATCCCGAGAGGAGAATGGAGGAGAAGGGATTGTGGCGTGGCCATCCCCCCAGGGGATAATTTTTCGCTTTCTATCTCTCTGTCTTTCTGGCGAGTGCACGTGCCCTATAGCGAAAACCTCTCCAAGAAAAGAAAGAAAGAAAAAAAAAAGAGCAAAGGAGGAGGTGGGCAAGCAATGCCCAGAAATATGTTGTGTGTTGGGTGCTTGTGTGGTGAGGAAGTTCATATTAATAAACCTGATGGTGTGTGTGCATGTGTGCCCCAAATCCTGATAGGATGGAGAAATGAAGAAGGGATTGTGGCACCACCACACTCCACAGTGTTAGTGTGTGTGTGTGTGTGTGTGTGTGTGTGTGTGTGTGCTTTCTTTCTCTCTCTCTGGTGAGCTCACATATTCCCTGGGGGGGAAATGCTTTCAAGTGGCATAAAAAATAGAATTATTATTTATGTGAAAATACGAATGGAGGAGAAAGCTTGTGAGGTGAGCGATATTAGCTGGTGGTGCCCATTCTCCAGAAAGTTAAATGGCAGAATTGGGTTGGAACCTGAACCTTCTCCTGCGTTCTTTCTAACACCCTTTGGTCCTGCTATGGCAGTGTCCTGGGGCCTAGGGCTCCCCAGGTGCAGGGACCTTACCCTTTGTAAGCTGTGTCCCCGGGCCACTTCCCTGGCAGTAGCGCAGGCAAACAGGACTGCATCATGTATGCTGGGGAAGACATGGCTGCGCTCTAGACAGCCGTCCTCGAAGACGCCTCCATGGCTGATGTCATTGTACACCTGGGCTAGAAGGAGGAAAGGTCACCTTCAGGAAGGTAATAGCCAGTGTGGATAACAGCTACGGGCGGGGGAGGAGGGCGACTCCAAGGGCAGGGGGAAGACAGAGAGGTGGGGTGTGTGCTCTCGCTGCATCCAAGGAATAGGGCGTCGGCATTGCAATAGCCGTTCTGGACGGCAGAGGGCAACGTGAGCTTGAGGATGCCTCACCCCAGGGCAGCAGGAAGCAGTTTGATTTAGTGAGTTAGTACTTTGTGGAAATTCAGGAGGGAAAGACTAAAACATCTGGGAGGAGATCACTGCCTGGTTTTCCCACTAATGGCCCATCCTTCCTCTTGTTTGCCTAGATCTTTCCTGCAACTTCCAGTGTATGGTGGAACCCTCACTCCTTCTAAATCCTAGAGATGGTGTCCTGAGGGAGCATCCAGGGAGGGTGGGAGGAATGCACTGATTCTGACCCTGGAGCATATTACAGTGGGTCATTGCCAATGTGGATTCTTCCCCTGAATGGGGTCTCTGCAGAACCTGGGAGATGCAGCCCTGCTGGAAGGGATCTGACCCTCTGCAGGAGGCTGGGCGTGTGTGTGTGTGCCCCTTCACATCCTCTCGCACATCTGTGTGCTTTTGCTGTGTGCACTTGGCATCCTTGCAGTTTGCAAATGTACTAACAGTGTGAATCTCCACTGCCCTGAGGCCACATCCTTGGGTCTCTGTACATACACCCTTTGGAGTTCGTGTGCATATAAAACTGTACCTGTATGTCTCCTGGGTAGTCAGGGTGTGTGTGTGTTGTGTCTACAGAGACACATGGACTTTCAGACTGGAGAGAATCTCAAATTCATCTAGCCAAGCCCTGCTTTTTACATAGGTAGATATAGACCCCTAGACAGATAAGGTGACTTGGCCAAGGATACGTGGTGAGTTAGTGATGGGCAGATTAGAATCCTTGCTGTCCTTCCTCGACTTCACGATCTTCTGTTCTACCATGGAGACCCTGGGATATTTACAATCTGGACAGTCTCTTTTGACTAGTATCAGAAACTCTTAGAAGCAGGCAGTTGTGGAGGGGAATGTTGGGGTGGTCTAATTTCCAGCCCCCTAATTGTTCAGCACCCCCCTAACCGGTTCCTACCCCACTTTCTTGCCAACCTTTCAGTCCCCGAATGCCCCCCTTTTCTTACCATGGACGTTCACCAAGAAGACCTTCACACCAATCTTCCCATAGGTGGAGCTCAGCTAGAGGGTTGGGGAGGGTGTTGGGGTCAGGAGACAAAAGGAAAGGAATGTTCTGCGCGGGCCTTGCACGTTACTCACAGATGTACTTCAGAGGGGAAATCAAACAAATAAGCAACCCCGAGTGCCCTGGCAGCTACAGATAAAAATAGCAACAAGTACACACTTCTCCCTGGAGAGTCGCTCTCAGCGCCTCTGGGGCGGAAGTGGGACTTTACCAATGCAGCGGGCACTTCAAGTCACCATGGCCCCCTCTTATGTGGTCAGATCTTTTCTTTCAAAAACTTAGACCTCCCCCACACCCGACACCACCCTGTTCCCAACTTCATGGCTTCAGGCAGGAGCTGCAGGGGAGGACCGGGACTCGGGGAGGCTGGAGCCACAGTCAAGGGGGCCTGGACTCCAGCTGCAAGCTTCGGGGTGGGCCTTCTTCACACCCAGCTGATGGTGAAGTTCACCCAGATCAGCGTGTTCACTCCCCATGTGCCCCGTCTGGGCCATCTCTGAGGTGTGCAGAGGCCCAGCCATCGGAGGCGGCCACTGATGGTATCAGCTAGATACCTTCACTTGAGGTGCTGCATGTTTGGCCCAAGGATGGGGGACACCAATGTCACCTCTCCTAGGTTAGCCAGAGTGCATCCTGGGATGGGGGAGCTTAGAACAAGAACCGGGGACCCAGCTGGGTCTACTTGGAGCACTGAGAGAGGGTCCCTGGTGGGCTGAGAGGGAACCTGGGCGCCTCAGCCAGGGCAGGTGGCCCGGTGCACTCTGAAGCCCTGGTAGCCCGCTCCAGCCTTTCCTGTCAGGCTGCCTGGGCCTGCTCTGCAGAGAGCACCCTGTCCTGGTCCTGTCCAGGGAAAGAAGGAGCTTTAGCCTCCAGGATGAGCTTCCCCGTCAGCCTGCTGAAATGAGGACTCCAGGGAAGGGGAGTGTGGGAGAGCAGGAGCAGGGCATCCCCTCTCCCTGAGGGCCTCACCTTGGCCAAGGCTTTGATGCCCATCAGGTCCACAAAGCTGACTCCGCCCATGTCGAGGATGAGGGTGTGGAAGGTGATGAAGGGAGGGACGCTGGCCAGCATGTCGCTGGGCTCAGCGGGATGCTCGGCAGAGGTCGGGGGCTCACGCTGTGCAGCTGGGGAGGTGTCAGGGCTGAGGGTGATGTAGGACACGCTGGCACCATTGGCGGGTGTCTGGTTGTTGTTGGGGTCTGTCGGGGAGGCATTCTCGAAGTCCTGCTGGAGCTCCTGCAGGGAGACAGTCTGGAGGGGTAGGGTGAGTGGGGAGGGTCAGGGACCTTCGGACTGAACCAGCCTTTGCTGCAGCTGAAGCTGGAGAAAGGCGGAGGCAGGCAGAGGTGCCTACCTCAACCTGTGGCAGAAGAGGCCTCTCCAAAGCCCCTTGCTTAGGCAGGGCCTGTAAGCTCATGCCCTTACAATCCAGTCCAAGTGGAAGGACCCTTTTCAGAGTGGCATTGAAGTTCCGGCCCACTCTGCTCTGGGGGAGTCCCCTGGAGACAACTGACCTCCTTTCTGCATGGCCTGGGACTGCCCACCCCTCTCCAGGGCTCCCACCCACCCAGCCTTGCTAGCTCCGGGTACCCCAGGAAATTCACTGCTGCTCCCGTCTGGGATTGTTCATAAGTCTGTGGGTTGTGTCCTATTTTAGCCAGAAGATGGAGAGGGGCCGTTACCCCAGGAGTGCCCAGTGGCCATGAGGCAGTGTTTACAGCCTCTGTCTCCAGGGTGCTAGGTGAGAGGGTGACACTGGGGTGTAGATCAGAACCATAGGTAGCAGGGCTCAGGGGCTGTTCTTCGCCTCAGTTCACCTTGGTTTTCATGAAGAGAGACTTCCTCTGCTGTGTGGGCATCGCCCTCCTCTTCTCCTGCTTCCTCAGGCACTTCTGCTTGGCTAGCAGTACTTTCTGGGGGTCCAGGCCGGTCTGCAGGGAGGCAGCCAACAGCGACCTTGACCTCCGCCCTCTGTGGGGTGCCTCCTCTCAGCTCCCAGCCCCCAACCGCTTTCATCTCCTGCTCCCTCTCTTCCGCACTCTGGTCACCCAGGACTGAGCCTTACCTTGGCGATGACCTTCTGCCTGAAGATCTCTGAGTTGGCAAAGTAGATTGGGGAGCAATAGGTGACGATTTTAACCCCCTCGATTTCCTGGGCCTGGGACAGAGAGGCTGAGCTCAGGCTGCAGACATGTCTTCATTGACTTTTTATTTACTTATTTTTTTCAAACCCTCGTCTCCTTGGTGTGGGGCAGAGTAAAGAGGATAGCCCTAGGCCTGGGTACCCACCTGGCTGTAGGTCTTGGGGTTCACATAAAGGTCAGTGTCCACAACCTGGGCCAGGGCATACCCGTTCCGACTGGATGAAGAAAGAGAAGAGCGTAAAGGAATGCTAACAGCACACGGGCCTGCGGGACGCCAGGGTGGGGCCGGGGTGGGGTTGGGGGACAACAGGGTCCTGTCCTCCCCAGACTTGTCGTGCTTGTCTTTTTGACACCGGAGCTAGGTGCCTGGTGGCCTGAGATTAGACTAGAACCAGGGGGCTGACAGGCAGACACGTGCCACAGCTCCCAGCTCTGTCAGGGGACAGAGGAGTGTGGGTACACAAGGTGACATCGCTTCCTGGTCCTGAGTCCTTAAGAAGAGAAAACAGGTCTCCCCAACATTCAGCATCACCCCGCCCTGGCTGGGTCCCTGTCCCTGTGGTACCCTTGAACTATCGAGTCTGTTTGTAGGACAAATACAGCGTCTGTCCTCTGTCCTAGGGTGAGTACCATTTGGTCTGGGGTTCTGGCAGTGCCTGTGGAAAGGTGTGGGTCTCACGTACCTGAGTTCTACCTTCTCTGCCCCACCCCCTTCTCCTGCTACCCCCAGCTGTCTGAAACCAAACTGGTTTCCTCTGGGGCTTGCAGAATATGGGAACTCCGATGGCCCAGTCTGTGCTCACAGTCCTGGCTGGGTCGGGCTCTCCCTGGGCCTGGTAGTACCCTCAGTGCCAGGCCCAGAAGGTGGAGGTCACAGTGGGCTATTCAGGCCTCCGCGTGGGATGGGCTGGCCCAGGGGCTCTCTTGTGCCTGGGAGGTTGGAGGCTATTACTTACAACTGGGTCTGGAAGACCACAACCAGGATGGAGAAGGCAACACCCACCGCCACGCCATATGGCAGACTCAGGAAGAAGGAGGAGAGGAAGCTCACCACCCAGACACACTGTGAGGAGAGAGATGTCAAAAGCAGGTCTGGGGAGAAGACTATCTCTTCCAGGAAGTCTTCCTGAATTAACCAAGGCCATTCTCTGCCAGCGCAACCTTAGACCCGCCTTCCCCTCTCATTGCAATTTTGTCAGTGTTCTGTGTTCTCAGGCTTTGGTTACATGTGCCTATCTCCCTTGGATTGAGTGCGGTGGCTTGGTCTTGTCTATGCTTTTCATAGAGGCCCAGCACACACAGGCAGGCAGCTGGCACAATGAGAGCATGCATCTCAGTCAGATATAGTCTCCGAGAAGCACGTGAGCCTTGGTGTCCGAGTTCACAGGGAAGATAACAGTAGAAGTGCTCATTTCATGGGGGGATTAAATATGGGGTGGAAGAGCCCTAGCCCAGTGACGGGCATTTGATGGCTGGTCAGTAAATGTGCATTCCTTTCTGTCTAGCCACAGGCCACATACGCCCCAGCAGGTACTCAGCCAACGATGCCTCCTGACCTGGCACTCAGGGCCTGGTTGTGTGGGTGGGGCGGACTTAGATGAAGTCTTGGTAGTTGCCCCCATGGCCTCTTAGGGACCCTCAGATTCCTCAGAGGGGTGTAAACCTGCCCAGACTCCCAGAGAGAATTGTCATGAAGACACATGTGGAAAGCATACGTGAATGTAAGGGTACTGTAGTCCCACAGGGAGATTGTGGGCATGTGGGCTGGGAATTGGGGCACCATTTTCCCCCTTAGACTCATCAAGTCCTCATGGGGGTACCCCGGATAGACCACTCCCTACTTTGGCTTCCAGGCTTTCTTTCCTTCCCTGAACCCCATGGGGGTGCCTGCCTTCCTAGGAGACAGTATAGTTTAGGGCTTTGGTGCCCAAGACCTGGGGCTCCAGTCTCGACTCTACCCCTTGCGACCTCTGTGTCCTTGATGGTTTCCTGAGCCCCTCTGCACCAGGGCTTCATCCTCCTTAGGGGAGGTGAGGGGATCCTCTCTCAGACGTTGTGGCGGGGCTTACGTGGAGAGGACACACCGTCATCAGTACACACAGCCTTTGTCGCCATTGTCCCGCGGAAGAGGCAGCGGCGTGTGTGACTAACCACGCAAGGAGTGACGTGTGCAGAATGTTTACGGCCACTGGGTGCTTTCCCATTGTGATCTTATTTAATCCTCAGAACCAGAGGGTGACACAGCCGTGACTATTGTCCTCATTTACAGATGAGGAAACAGAGCCCCAGAGAGGTCGGGTAACTTGCTCAAGAACTGGTTCTCTGGCTTGATGTTCTAGGCTTTAAAAAAAAAAAAAAA